CCGGAAGCTTGCCTTCATCGCGTGATTTTTTGTGTATAACATGAAGGTAGGGAGCTACTGCCTCAGAGCAGTGTCTTTAAACTCTTGGTGACAAGCCGCCAAGGTCAGTTGATTTACTTTCGTCAATGTGCTGTAACAAGTTCATTATGCCATTGAATGAAGACTATATCTGACCCATAGGCACACATTGTTCTTTTTTTTATTCACAACAATCACATGTGTAGAAGGGCAGAAAACTGATTTTAAAAAGTCGTTGAAAAGCGTGGCTTCGCTTGTTGCTTCGTCCTCAATTTAGGTTGAACCTTTTTTCTAAGCCTCGAGGTTTCTTTGCAGGAAGGAACCGACGCGTGAACAGAGCAAGGCAGAGGTTATGCCTGCGACGCAGCGAATGGTACAAAGAAAGATAAATAGAAACAGTGTATATGCATTTAGTTCTCTAAAAAATCATTTCAAAAGAAATTTAAGATGCCTATGACTCGTGAAGTATTTACCACAGTCGCAAACGGTACGTCTAAAATGCTGGATCACCCTTTCGAACACACGTCAGTGTTTATTTAGAAGCGTCACGTAACATTTTCCGAGAAACAGTACATAGCTCAAACGTAGCCTAATGAATGTACGAGATCTTTCAAGAATGTTACAGCATAATGTCAGAGGCTTGAAAGCAGTATGATATGAGTGCTACGCTGAAGACTGTCTCGCTAGCATGCACTCAAGTTGATTGAGAAAAGAGAGCATCAGATATAACGAAATATATATGCAGTTTTCTTTATACCGGAATAACCACAATTAAAAAAAATTGAATTGGCCCCGTATTTGCACGTTTCTGCAAATATCATCGAAAGACGATAGTCTTGCGTGTGGAGAGAGTGAAAATTTCATTTATTTGATGTTCTGCGCAAGAAAATTGGTGAGTGGTATTCTGAAGGCGCTGCGCTAGTGTGCCTCGAGCCTGCAGCGGAGGCGAACGAGCGCATCAAGTTACGCCACACGTGAGACATGAGCGCTATCTGGCAGTTTTCTTAGAAAACAAAGCGCGTGGCTGTGAGACAGGTGTGCGCGCCCATTTCAGAGGTGACAAGGTGTAGAACGCAAGGCGACTGGTAGGTGCCACCACCGTCTCGGCTTAGCAAAGCGTTGCAAACACTCCCCGTTCCGTGCAAGGGTTGCATGGTCAACCCAGCGTGATAAGTGCTACGGTCCTTAAAATTACTTGGTGTGTTTTTTTTTAGTAAAAGACGCACATTCAGAATATATGCGTGTTATGGTGCCCCAGACTTGCGCAATAATTGACTTTTTATTTGACAATTGCACAAACATGAACGTTCAACCTTGAGCAGTATTGGTGGGCGCTGCGGATGGGGTTGGCTGTTTCAAGTACCCGATGCTGTTAAGAGTGGACAAACAGACAAATGTACAGATAGACAAACAGATCAAAATTTTTGCGTCGAAGGTCCCCAAGAAAGACTATCGTCTTAAAAAAAATGTTCATGAAGGTCACTGAATGCTTATAGCAGCGTTCGAAGTTACGCAGAAATGTCTCTGCTGCTACAAAAGACATAGGTTCAAAATACGCATGTCCTGTCTAAAAGCTTTAGGTAAACATCAAGTGCATGATATATTTCCTTATTATCTTTTATTCTAGAAAGGTTCAACGAAAAAGAAAGGCTGTAGCATAGGCTATTCCTATAACAGTTTTATTCATAGAAGGTTATCCTAATAAACATGAAAAAATAAGCCCTGCCGCGGTAGTCTAGTGGCTAAGGTACTCGGCTGTTCACCCGCAGGTTGCGGGTTCGAGTCCCAGCTACGGCGGCTGCATTTCCGATGGAGGCGGAAATGTAGGCCCATGTGCTTCGATTTGGGTTCACGTTAAACAACACCAAGTGGTCGAAATTTCCGCAGCCCTCCACTACGGCGTCTCTCATAGTTGTATGGTGGTTTTGGGACGTTAAACGCCACATATCAATCAATAAATAAAAAAAAAATTGGCAGCATATTCACGCAGTGAATGATGAAGAGTGGGGCGAAGCATTCGTCCGTTCATTCGTTCTTGCTTCCGTCCGTCCATGCGTCCGTCTGTGTGACCGTCCATGCGTCTATCCCCCGTCTGTGCATGCGTCTTCTCGTGCGTCTGTCCCTGCGTTCGTCCCCTGCGTCCATTCATGCGTCCATTCACGCATCTGTCTGTGTGTCCGCTCGTCCATCTATTTAACACTCCATGTATCTCTATCTCGCATATTTTCATCATATATTGGATGGATGGATGGGTGGATGGATATGGCTGTACCCTTTAGATCGGGCGGTGGCTAGCGCCGCCAAGCCGTAATACTTAATGAACCAAAAACCAGATTTATATTTTTTCCCTTTAAATAGTGAGGTTGAGTATTCGTACTTTGCAGTGAAAGGTTTAATTTTCACTCGTGCCTTGACCTTAACCACCAATCAGCTAACCACCTTCTAGTTAATTCTACCCGCTTAAAGTCCATTTTCCCTCCCTGTTCCTAAACACCAGTGCTTTGAAAAACTGCGCCATCATCCTGAACTATAAGGTGAAGCCCTTTACAGAACATTATCAAGTGTTCGACAGTTTCTTCTTCCTCTCCACACACACTGCGTACCGTGTCTACCCCTTCGTATTTGGCCCGATATGTCTTGGTTCGCAACACTCCCGTCCTGGCCTCATACAGTATAGAACTACCCCGAGTATTATCATAGACCCTTTCCTTGGCAATTTCTCACTTAAAAGCTCAATAGATCTCTGGTGTAAACTTCTTAATCATGCTAATTCTCCACATATCGGTCTCAACTTCCTTCACCTTCTTCTTAACCGATAATTCTTTTTGGTTTGGCCCCCTGCTGTTTTCTATGTATTTACCAGTCAATTTTCTGGTTCGCTTCCTCCATTTTCTATCGACATTCTTCATGTACAAGTAGCTGAATACCTTCCTAGCCCAACGCTCCTCCCCCATTTCTCTCAATCACTTCTCAAGTTTTATCTTGTGCTAGCTTCCCTGCCCTCAGATGATGTCCATCCCATATCACCTTGTACTCCCTGATTTGGTGTATTCCCGTGAGCTCCTACGGCAAGCCTACCTATTCCACGTTGCTTAATTTCTAATCTTGCTTGAACTTCTGATCTCATGCACAAGACCACGTTGCCGAACGTCAGACCAGAAACCATGACCCCTTTCCATATTCTTTTCACAACATCATAGCTATTGTAATTCCACAGTGCCCTGTTTTCATTACCGCTGCAATCCTGTTACCTTTAGTCGTCACGTATATTTCGTGTTCCCTTAGGTACTCGGCCCCATTGCTTATTTATACGCCCAGATACTTGTATTTATTTGTTATCTCTAGCGTGACCTCCTGTATTCTAAGCTCACTACCTTCATTGTCATTAAAAATCATGACTGCTGATTTTTCCTTACTGAACCTGAAATCTAACCTATCTCCCTCACTACCGCAGATGCCCACCAATCTCTGCAAATCTTCTTTGTTGTCGTCCATTAGCCCTATATCACCTGCGTACATCAATGCTGGTAGTGCCTGTTCAATGACGTTTCCTTGTTTGACGAAAGAGAGGTTGAAGCCCAGTCCACTTACTTCTAATTTGGCCTCTAATCCTTGTTGGTACATAATGAATAATATGGGTGACAGGGGACATCCCTACCTAAGTTTCTGTTTTACCTCTGCAGGCTTGGATACCTGTTTTTCCCACTTTATAACTACATTGTTACCTTTATAGATATCCTTTAAATGATTAGTGACTACATTTTCCACGCCTATATATATTCCCCATATAGAAGCACCGCCATCTAGTGGACATTCCAAGTTCTAAACGAGAGGTGGCACACGCACGCTTTCTTACGGCTTGCGCTTCGTGTCTACTTCCCACCTTTAACCACCTCGAGTTCATGGCATATACTAGTTCACTGTATTCATGGCACTGCGGCCGAACGCTCGCTAAACCTTTCGAAAACCAAGGAGGTTACGCCCAGCGAGTATGACGTAGCTAACTTTTTCAGTCTTATAGTGCTCAATGTACATGCTAATGGCTGCTAATGGGAAATGAGAGGCGGAGAATTCGGCTTTTACTTTCTTACGGCTTGCGCTTCGTATCTACTTCCCGTTTTTAACCACCTCGAGTTCATTCATGGTATATACAAGTTCATTGTATTCATGGCACTGCGGCTCAACGCTCGCTAAACCTTTCTAAAACTAAGGAGGTTACACCCAGCGAGTATAACGTAGCAACCCTTTCTTGTCAGATAGTGCTCAATGTACATTCCAATGGCTGCTAATGGTGATCGCAGCCTGCGCGTTACCTAAAAGCCGAATGCTCCTGTCTCTCATTCCTCATTAACAGCCATTGACATGTACATTGAGCACTATTTTTTATTGTTCAACAACGCACAGAAATCTCGCACCGGCACCACCTTGGAGGTCAAAATGTTGTACTTGTTACATACTACGGGGGAAGAACGGGTGCCGCTATAAGGAGCTTCGCCCCTCAAAATAAAACCCTGCAGGGTTACCGACCCGGGCTCAGTCCACCCTCACGTTTTGTGCGGTGAGGCGTAGCCTTGCCACCGCTGTCCGGGCTCGCTGGATTGCTCACATTTGGTCGTGCAGATCTGAGCTAGCCAGCGCAATTAGCCAACGCTCCTCGAGAAGGTCCGCCTTTATATTGTCCCCTCGGTATATTACTGTGACCTCTGTGCATAGAAATGAAATATGTGCTATATCTGAGTGTTCGTGCTTAAAGAGGGTACAGCTTGCTTGTGGGTATTGTCTGGAATTTACTTTGTTCAGGTGTACTGGATTTGAAAAGGTTCTGGTTTCCAATCTTTGCCAATCTGTTTCTTGAGATCTGTCTAGCTGTTTGCGCGGTGGCGGATATTCTTCTCGTTGTCATTTATACTGTGCCAATATGTCATGGTACGTGACCAGTCTGTCTCTGTCATCTTGTATTGCATATTCATTATTGTCATCACCTCCATCGTCCCCATCGTCTCCACTGGAGTCGCCCCCCATTCCTTCTGTGGCGGGTGCGGGAGGCCAGACCATCACTGTTTGAGCCATGGTAGTTTAGTTGCCGCATGGTTCGGCGGGCCTTCGCGTCGAGGTTTTGAGGGATGGTCGTATCTGCGATGTTTATTCCCCAATGTGTGCCGGAATCCACTTGAGCTATTCGGGTACAAATTTGCCGTGCCGTAAGTCTTCTGCTCTGCGGATCGGGATATTGGCTGCTTCGGTGGAGACCCATCCCTCTGTGAAATTCCTAATGGCCATCTTGGAGTCACTGAATATTATTCTGCCGTGTTTGCGACTATTGACTACGACTAGTGCAATGGCCATTTCTTCCGCTGCCTCCGACAATCTGGTTTTTACGGAGCCCGTGGTCACGGTCATTCCTTTTTTTTTTGTCTATGACCGCCATTGTGAAGGAGCCATGCGAAAGCCCATTTTACTCATATCATTATTTCAGGAATACAGGGCGGCGTCTACAAAAAGCACACCCTCCCTTGTGCCGTGGTTTTTAAGGATCGTTTTCGTGCGGTATTTTTGTCTCTCAACGTTGTGTAGAGGGTGCATATTTATGGGATGTTTTCCATGATTCTCGCGGACCTGACGTCGTGGTGAGTCTGCGTCTTGGGACATCTCATTCCGTGGTAATGAAGGGAGATCTTTTCAATAATTTCTGTACCCGCCATCGTTCCTGACAATCGTCCGAGTTGCGCTATCCTCTATGCTTCAGCGGTCTCGTCCAGCGTGTTATGCACTCCGAGTTGTAGCAGCCTTTCGTTCTTTGTGTATTGCGGTAGACCCAGCGCAGCTCTGTACGCTGTTATAATCAGCACGTCGACTTTGTCTTTCTCGGCTTTGTAAGAAAGTGTGCATGTGCCACCTCTCGTTTAGTCGTAGGAATGTCCGCTGGATGGCGCTGCTTCTATATGGGGAATATATGATGAAAAGATGCGAGATGGTGGTACTTGGAGTGTTGAATAGATAGACGAACGGACACATAGACAGATGCATGGATGGACGCATGAACGGACGCAGGGGTGGCTGCATGGACGAACGCAGGGACGGACGCACGAACAGACGCACGCACGGACGGGCTGATGGACGCATGGACGGTCACACTGACGGACGCATGGACGGACGGAAGCAAGAACGAATGGACGGGCGAATTCTTCGCCCCACTCTCCATCATTCACTCCGTGGATATGGTGCCATTTTTTTAGTAAAGTTTTTTCCGTCCGTCCGTGTGTTTACACACAGGAACAATGGATAAAGAGATAATTATATGTCGGGTTTAACGTCTCAAAACCACCATATTATTATGAGAGATGCCGTGTAGCGGAGGGCTCCGTAAATTTCGACCACCTGGGGTTCCTTAAGTCTGAGCACATGGGCCTACAGCATTTCCGCCTCCATCGAGAATGCATCCGCCACAGCCGGGATTCGATCCGGCGACCTGCGGGTCAACAGCCGGGTAACTTAGCTACTAGACACCGCAATAAAGAGATATGGTAGGGTAAATAAAACAAAGAGGCGATTTTCATTTCATGAGCAGAGAAGCAAATCAGTGCTTCTGAGTGCAGCTTGGTGTCCTGGCAACGTTAACTGTCTTTGAAGTTCTGCCTATCCCCAGTTCTAGAAATGCAACATTCATCGCATTTTGTCTCAGGAAGTGCCAGCACCATAGTGCTGTGATGAACATTCCGCGCAATGCAGGCGTCGTGAGCCAAGTGCACCGATAGCCGCGTTAGCAAGTGATGCCAGCTCTGCTAGCCCACCAGCTATGACCGATGCGCCAGCGCGCATGACAGGGGAAGAAACGGGTTTAGAAGCCAGTGGTTCGTGTTGTTGACAGACTCCGCGCTCGCTATTTTTCGTCCCTGTACCACTTTTCGGTAAAGCCAGCCACCAACGGTGACCTCACTCAACGCAGGAATAGTGCAGATCTGAGGAGCACAACCGTACATTATGCAAACGCGTAGCAGCGTTGGAAGCTACCTAAATCTATATAGTGCCAGAAGCCACGTGTCATAGCGGTTGCGAGAGTTTGTTGATATTCTGGTTTCCATAACTGTTTCAGCGTGTATCTACGTTCAACAACAAATACGGCTAGATCAGGTAACTGTACTCATTCCCTTCCATTTTATTAAGCTTTGATTTCAAGTTGTCCCACTAGAAATGCTTTATGGGCGTAGTCATCGTAGTGCATGTTGGTAAAAGTGCACGTCTTTCTATCAATGAATACTCTCAAGATCATCAAATCTCACTGAACCCTTTTTGAAGATCGGTGCAATCTATTGTACTAAAATTTTCCAAAGTTATGCCTAAATCAATTCTAAAATGTGAGTTTTTCAATGCGAAGCATTTCTTTTCAATATTCGGTGACTTTGAGCGTATCTATCTATCTATATCTATCTATCTATCCTATCTATCTATCTATCTATCTATCTATCTATCTATCTATCTATCTATCTATCTATCTATCTATCTATCTATCTATCTATCTATCTAATCTATACACCTACGACATTTAGCTCTTCTGGCCGTTGGATAATGGTATCGATACCAAACTTGGTATGGCGTAACATGAGTGAAGAACATATTTGACGAGTCATAACATAAAAATCATGACATGTGTGTCATGAATGTCATGATTTTTATTTCACAGCCCTGCAGCTCTGGAGGTGGTTTCGTTCACATGGCATAATGCAAAACTTGTATGATACGACATGAGTAAATGCCGAAGACAGGCGACTGACCCTGACATGAAAATCATGACATGCGTGTCATGTAACAATATGACTACGTGCCACGCTCATGATGAGCTCGCGGCAGTTTCGCTAGTGTCACATATACGAAATTTGGTATTACCGTACGTGAATGGATGGCGAAGGTATGATAGTGGTGCAAACATGATAATCATGAGAGGCGTGTCATGTAACAACATGACTACATGCCACGCTCATGATGCGCTGGCGGCCGTTTCACTAACTTCATTTATACCAGATTTGGTATTACGGGACGTGAATGGATGACGAAAGTTTGATTATAGTGCAAACGTGATAAACATGAGATGCGTGCCATGTAACAACACGACTACATGCTACGCTCATGATGCGCTCGCGGCCGTATCACTTGCTTCACATGTACCAAACTATGTATTACGTGACGCGAACAGACCACAGAGATAAATGACACATCTAAACATGATAATCACGACATGCGTGTCATGTATCAAGATGAATACATGTTACACCGATGATGCGCTCGTGGCCGTCCCGCTAGCTTCATATATGCCGAGTTTAGTATTACGTGATGCCAATGGATGACGAAGGTATGTGACTGACGCAAACATAATAATCATGAGATGCGTGTCATGTGAGAACATGACTACATGCCACACTCAAAGAGCCAATACTTTTCGACGTGACGTGAGGCGGTGCGTGTGCTCGCCGGCGTTCATTTCATCGCGTCACGCCGGCGTTGCCACGCCAGGTGCCGGTACGACCATATACTAAGCTTCATTCCATCACATAAGCTTCATGCCATACTTGATCGATCATCATCTGCTGACTGCGTTTATTTAGACTTTTGAAAAGCATTTGAGAAGGTGTGCCATAAACAACTACTACACAAGTTACGTCAGCTTAATATGGAACCGAAACTTGTTGTATTGCTTGAGATTTTTCTAACTACTCGCTCGCAGTTCGTTTCAATTAACAACCAAAATTCTAATAATACCTTTGTTCAATCCGGTGTGCCACTAGGTTTTGTTTTCGGCCCTCTGCTTTTCCTAATATATATTAATAATTTAACGTCATGCCTTTCATCTAATATGAATTTGTTTGCTGACGATTGCGTTGTGTTCCGAGAAATAATCTGCGACGATGACCCTATCACCCTCCAAACTGACCTGAATTCTATAACAGCTTGGTGCTTAAAGTGGCGCATGGAACTCAACGCTAGCAAGTAAAAATTTATGCAGGTATCAAGAAAAAGTAACCCATTACCTGTTGACCACATTGATAGCACCACCATAGACTTTGTTTCTTCCTATAAATATCTCGGTGTTAACATTACTAGCAACCTCACCTGGAACGTTCACATTGAACATATTATTAACAATGCGAACCGCATGCTGGGTTACCTGAGGCGTAATTTTGCTAAGGCACCATCTTCTCTTTAACTACAGTTGTACAAAATACTTATTCGTTCTAAATTAGAATACGCCCCATGTATTTGCTATCCTTATTGTAACAATCTCATAAACTAACTCGTAATGGTACAAAACAATTCTGCCCGTTTCATCCTGTCTAACTATAACCATACCGCCAGCATAACAACAATAAAATCTACCCTTAACCTTCAATTCCTAGCAGTTCTACGTAAAATTTCCCGACTTTCGTTGTTCCACAAAATATATTATCACCAACATCTGCGTGAAGACCTCATTTTGCCTCCATTGTACATTTCTTCTCGCCTTGATCATGCTCACAAAGTCGGTATTGCATCAACGCGATTGGCCGCTTTTTCTCAATCAATCAACCCCGTACGTAATTAGAACGGAATCGCCTTCCCTCTCTTACAGCAACCATTGTAAATGACACGCTTTTCAAAAAGGCCATAGTCAACATTTTGTAATTCTTGCTTGTTGTGTACAGTTATGATTGCTTGTTGCGTTTCTTTTTGTTTTGCCTAATTATGTATAAGATATTTGTTTATAAGTTCTATTTCGCTGATTTTTTTGTTATTCTTATGAATGTACCCACTCCCCTGTATAATGTCATTGGCCCTGGGGGTATTGCTAATAAATAAACAAATAAATAAATAAATAAATAAATAAACAAACAAATAAATAAATAAATAAATAAATAAATAAATAAATAAATAAATATATACTGGCAGGCGCGCACCGTGCTCAGCGGCGTTGCTTTGACGCATGCGCGTTTCAGCGCGTCCGGCGTCCCTCCGTCACAAAAAGAGGGAGACGCAGTGTTGTCTGGGTAACGCATCCGCGCGAAGTGCAGCATGTCGCATTTTGCACCAGTTGCCGTCGA